CCTCTATTTGAATGATTGATTTTGAGAGGCATATCAAAAAATGCTACGAAAATTATTATTAACCTGTTTTTTTTTTGTGCCACTGATATTTCTAGCAGGTTTCAATTACCATTATGAATTGTTTGATAGCAATCAGTTTAAAAATTACAGTTTATAAAAAATCCAATAAAAAAGGATATGAGGAAAATTTCTTCACGCGAACATTTCATCAAATAGAACCCAGGATTTTTTCAAATATTAAAATTTATTCAAAAAGTGTTGATGTCATTGTTTTTTAGAAACCTTGAAGAAAAACTGAACTTAAGAAAAGAACAAAATTATTACGACTTCAAAATTGAACTGCTTATTTTCTATAAATTTTCAACACCAGAATTGACCCAGGCTGAGATCGATTTCATAAAAATAACAAGACTGCTCGTATCAGGGCGAAGCCCTGAATGTTCCGACTACCTTTTAAGGTTTATGGAGCAGCAGTAATAACATTTAAAAAATTAAATGAAATAAAAAAAAAGCAAAAATTTTTTTTTCTAAAATTTGAATTTTTTTTAATGAAAATCATCCCCCCAAACGCCATATAAAGTATAAAAGGATAGATTCTGCTCCTTGTAACAAATCAATTATGAAAAATAAGCTTCGTTCAACCAATTTGGAACGATTTCTAAGACGGATTAAACCTCCGCTTACGCGTTAATAGCGCGAATTATATCGCGTTAATTGTCCCAAATTGGTCAAAATGGCCGAAATGGCAATCTTTAAACCCTCATAACTTTACGAAAAATGATCACAGGTGTAATATTTTCTCAAGTTTTAGCTCAGGACAACAATACCTTTTGAATGATATTTAAAAATTCTGTCAAAAATGGCTAGTTAAAAAGTCGAAATTTGTCTGAAGAAAAAAAAACCCACCCCGAGCACAAATATTCCGTTACTTTCGTATCGAAAGTCGGAACAAAAAGTAATTATTTGTTCATTCTAACGCTACAAAAATTTGACTTCCGATTAAATTGAAGTCTTAACTTATAATTTGAAAACTAAATGTTCATTTGGCGCCAATATGTACAAATTTTGAAAAAGCAGCGCTCGCCAAAAACCGTGAATTTTTAGCCAAAATTGCCTACAGAGTGCCCAAAAAACGGCTGTTTTGAGCCTATTTTCGCAACACGGTGGCAATTCAGGAGAGATCAGACAATGTATTTGTTTCGCATAAAAAAGAATTAAAATTGTTGGTTTTCTTTGTAAAACCACTCCAAATTTATCTCGATAAAACTCTGGATCTGTTCCGGTTTGAAAGAGTAGATCTATTTTGGATCGAAAACTTCAGAGAACTACTTCACAACTTCCTTGTGATGGCAACAGGGTCTTTTAGGCGATGTAGCAGAAATCGGACAAACAATTCAAACAACCTTAAAAAATGTTTCTTTTCATTTCGATGCCTTTTGATTGTTCATTTCTTCTTCTAGGTTGGCCCCCACGTCAGCACCTTCCGAAGTGCGAAAGCTAGGATGAGTGCTCTAGAGAACCACGAATACGAATCAGCGTCCCGTTTCGGCTACCTGGGACAGGGTGCACATGCAACACCTCCCTACTGACCATGTCACATGCATCCAATGAGTCGAATTGCTATTGCTACAGAAGAATTGCTTAATTGGGCGACTTTCTAAATCTAAGCCTATCTGCCTAAACTGACTTTATCATTCAAATCACTGCTAATTTTTTTTGTTCATTGTATTAGGGTACAAAATAGTGATTGCGATGTGTGCGGCTGATTGTTTTGTGTTGATCATCTTCAATTAAATCTATTTCTATCTCTTTCAACAGCGGTCAATGTCGACCAGAGCTGAACAGTTCGTATGCTGCCTTGACGATATAACTTAGGCTTTCTATAAATAAAATGGAGTATTGATGGAGCATAAATGTTTTAAAATGTTACTACTAAATTGGGTCGACATTACTACGAAATACAAGGCTGATACCTGGAGCCTTGCATCAACTTAGAAAACTGCAAAAATGGGAATTGAACGGCAATTCAGAACGCATTTGGACTCATATTTGCCAAATTTATATGGAGAAAACGTCCAAAAAACAAAGAAAAGTATCTGTTTCAGGCTAGGGGTATGCTCGCTCAATCTCCGTAAGTTGGTAAAAAACTATGAAGTCGAATGCTGAGAATTATAAAGAGTATTTATCGGCAAAAACTCTCGGAAACTCAACAATTTTTCATATTTTTGGTCAAGCATAACATCATATAACTTCAATTCTCAACTTGTTTCGGTACAAATTGGCGCAAGCTAGCCACAAGAACCGGTCGGTAATGCCCTTGAGACAAATTGCTCTTTTTGGCGGTCAGCCCTAATCAAGGCTGAACCGAATTAGAACCAAAAAACAGTAAAACCCTCGGGTCTACATGTTTTAAGCTCTGCATATGGGGGGACTCGAACCCGGTTGACCGGCGTGAGAGACTTGTCTCTAGGCCGCTCGGCCAACTATGCTTGTTTTATATGCATTTATACTCTTGTTTTATATGCATCTATACTCTACATTTACGTTGCAACATCCTCCCCCCTGAAGAAGGAAGAACCGGAGCGAGATTAGCGGTCGGCCGAGTGACTTCACGGGTTGCGGTCTTAGCAAGGGCGGATCGAGTGCAACTGTCCTGTCCGTAGTTTAGCTTGACGATTCGGGCGAGAGGGTAGTACCCACGCGGACTGTCTGGCTCAATCACCCACACGAGATCGCCTGTTTTAAGAGTGAAGTCAGAATGAGTGTGCCACTTGACGCGTTTATTCAACGAGGGAACATATTCCCGAAGCCAACGAGACCAAATCGCGTTAGCATATGACTGCGCTCGCACGTACCTTTTCTTGTAATTGAAGTGCTCCCCGGGTAAAAGCGAAGGAAAGCTTGTGGCATGTTGTCCAAGCACAAAGTGGTTTGGGGTTAACGCTTCTAACTCACGTGAATCAGTACTAACGGGAGTAATTGGCCTCGAATTCAAAGCCTGCTCAACTAAGCAAATTGTTGTTCCTAACACCTCTTCGGTGACTCGCCTACTGCCTAGGATATCGTACAGCACGCGCTTCACGCTTCGGAAGAGGCGTTCGCAGGAGCCGCCATGATGGGGTGCGCCTGGCGGGTTAAATTTCCAAGTAACACCTTTGTGTGCAAAAATGGTCGGAGCCATGCCATTCCAGCTCTTGATGCAGGCAAGTAATTCCTTTTCCGCACCAACGAAGGTCGTGGCGTTATCCGACCAGATTGTACTTGGCCTACCACGACGCGCAATGAACCGTTCAATGCCCATGACACAAGAACTGGTGTCCAGAGATGGTACAATCTCAAGGTGTACAGCCCTGGTGTTGAGGCAAGTAAAAAGAAATCCCCATCTTTTTTCAGTGCTTCTGCGAACCGGAACGTAAAGCGGTCCAAAGTAATCCACACCCGTATGATTGAAGGGTGGTTGCTTGTATCCGAGACGTTCGACAGGTAAATTGGACATAATTGGCTGGATGGTGCTTGCTTTGCGTTTATGGCATGTTACACATTGATTTTCGATAGACCGAAGTAGTCGACGCAACCCAAGTATTTCATATTTAAAACGGAGCGCATGTAACCTAATCCTTGAAGAAAATGCTTATGGTGGAGGCTGCGGGCCAACAAACGAACTAGGATATGTCGGGCGTCGAGTAAGATTGGGTGTTTAGTATCAAAGTCGGTATTCACTAAGCGCACAATCCGTCCGGTGGGACGAATGATACCAGCGGGACCGATAAATGGCGAGTATGTGGCAATTTTACCACTATTCTTAATAGGTTTGCCAGCGGTGAGTGTTTTCAACTCAACGGGGAAGGATTCCATCTGAACAAGAAGAATCAGTTTGTTTTCTGCAATATCAAGTTCAATGGGGTCGGTGATTCGTAAGTCCTTGCCACGAAAATGCTTATGTGAAGGCAGCATCCTCAACATAAAAGCGACTACTCGTTTATATCTCGTAAAGGAACTGAACCTTTCCCAATTGAACCCGTGTTCGGGATGTTTGATGGATGTGACATCGGTGACGAAGGAAGTTGATGTCTCCAAGCAATTATCAACATCACAAGAAGGACCTTCAAACAAAATTTATTGATTACATGTTCGTCGGGTACAAACGGCCAATCAGTAGTCCTGAGAATGCTCGGACCAATAACCCAGCTGCTATCCTTGAGGGCTTCCGAAGAAATCCCCCGCGTACCGGTATCAGCTGGATTATCGCCGCTCAGAACATGGTGCCACTCATTAATAGTGGTCGATTCGAGGATTTCGCCGACACGATTAGCGACGAATACAGGTAATTTTTCAGTGTAGTTTAGCCACTGCAAAACTGTTGTACTATCTGTCCACATGTAGACATGATTAATGCAGACAGTAAGGGCGGTCAGTATATCATCTTTTAGTCTTGTGGCGAGCAGAGCAGCTTGAAGCTCTAGCTTTGGTATAGATAGCGCTTTCATGGGCGCAACGCGAGCTTTACCAAAGATGAAGGATATTTGAGTTTTGTGCGAGCTCGAGAATCGCGCACGCAAAAATCCAACCGCAGAGAAAACGTCCTGCTAGCTATCACCGAACATGTGGAGCTCAATTTGATCAACAGGCTCTGTGAAGTAACAACGGGAATAGTCAATTGCCATAAGAGAGGGAGACCGGAGTGCCACTCGAGAAACTTACCTCTTATGTCTTCTAGCAATTCGTCGTTCCAACTTTGACCACTGATTTTCCAAATATCTTTAAGTAAAAGACGGGCCCTAACTGTGTATGGAGCTACTAACCCAACAGAATCAAACACAGAAGAGACGAAACTCAAGACGGTTTGTTGAGTTTTTGCTTTATCGAGAGGACGATCCACGCCTCTGCTAACAACCAATGTGTCTTTCCGATGGTCCCACTTAAGACCTAAGATATGTGATGATTGTTCGGCACCGTTACATATTTCTTTGATGGATGAAGACGAGGTTTCGGATTCCTCGGGGTTCATTGCTGAAGTGATTTCATCAGCATTAATGACAAATTTAGTCAAATTAAATCCTCCCAATTTTAGTAGGGAAACCAAATCGCGACTAATTTTAATTGCATGGGTAACGTTCTCGAATGAATCCAAGTAATTGTCCATGTAAAATTTTTCATTTACGACTGAGGCGGCCTCAAAGTATGTGGACATATTATCAGTTGCTGTTTTTCACAACGCGAAATTGGTGCACGTAGGCGAATCCCGTGCGCCGAATTTATGGCGAGTGTACTGATCAACTACCACATCGGAAGTAGTATCCTCCCGCTACAAAAAACGGAGCGAAATTTGATCGCGGGCAAGGACTCCTACCTGGAGGAACATACCCTCTATATCCGCGGAGACGGCGTACTTGTGTTGACGGAATCTCAAAAGTACAAAAATTAAATTTTGGAGTAGGTCCGGACCCACTAATAAGGACTTTTTTAAGGATGTGCCGTGAAACTTAGAAGCCCCAATAAGGACTCGGCGCACCTTACCCGGCTCATTCGGATTTACGACGGGATGGTGCGGAAGATACCACTCGCGATTGGAACGCTTACGTGGATCATGCGGTTCGACGGTAACGACATAGCCTTTCCTAATGTCCTCTCTAATTGTTTCTGCGTATCTTTCGCGCAGCTCAGGGTCTTTACTTAACCTTCTCTCCAATGTTTTAAATTGGGTGAGTGACGAGTAATAGTTGTTTGGTAGACTGACATTACTATCAATCCAAAGCATAGGCACAATGTATCTTTCGCCATTGTGAACGGTTTCAGAATTGAGGATAGATAAAGCATGTTTATTCGCGGCGTAATGGGCATCGACTTGTTTGAAAGCACCATACGATTCCAACTCGTACCAGGATTTTATCTGGTCGGTCAGAGAAGAGTCTTCAACAACATACTTGAAACACGAAGAAATCGAATTAACGGACGGCGGCAACGGACCACTTATGACCCAACCTATCGGTAGGCGAACGGAACACGGTGAGTTTTTATCATCTCGTAAGATGAACTCAATGGGTCTAACGGCGTGGTAGTAGTCTTGTCCGATAATAACTTCAACGTCCTCATAAGTATATTGAGTGGGCAAAATAGGTGCTAATTGTGGTTATTTATTCTGCAAATCAGCAATATTGATTAATTCGGAACCAATCCGAATATTGTTTTTAACATATGCACAGAGAGAAAATACGAAATCACTATTATTCGGCTCGGAGGAAACTGTAATTTTGACCCTCTGAGTCTCAACAACGGTGGTTGAATAGAAAGCGGCAGTTGTTAAAGTCTTATAGTGTTGGTTGCTGCCAATTATGTCTAACAGTATGCATTGACCAAGCCTCCTTGAGGTTAGGCGGAAGTTTACTAACAACTTGGTTTAACAGGTTAACACTCTTTAGATCATCGTTGAAAGACAATGATTTGAAAACTGCTACGAGGCCAGATATGGCAGAGGAGAAACTAATGACATTTTCCGAATTGTGCATCTTAAGTGGAGGAAAAGTATTCAGCTTATCAAGATGCGCACCAACAATGGCATGTGGTTGCCCGAACTTCCGTTGCAAGGTGGCCAGTGCATCCTTGTAAATAACGCCACCATAACTAAACTCCACAATTGCGGTTTTTGCTTTGCCTGTGACGAGCGTTTTTAAGTATGTCAGTTTCGTATCATCGGTGAGAACAGCGGAATCAACAGTGGACTTAAACTGACCAAACCATTCGTGCCAGTTTAACGGGTTGCCGTCAAACTGGGCTAACTTTCATTCAGGAAGATGATCTTTGCGGCTATGCATCAA